CTTTACACTGTCATTCACTAACAGTCCAGCAAGGTATTTCAAAATGATTTGGTAGTTTTGTTTTTTTATGTTTGCAAATGTTGTATTTTCCCTTTAATTGACAATTTGAATTTTTTTTTAATAAATCCTTTTTTTCTCTTTTCTTTTTTTGACATACCTCTCTTCTGGTGAACTGCAGTATGGTTGCTATGGCACTGAACATCTGTCGTCTTTTAGAATGGCTCTCAGTCTGGAAGTAACACAGCACAACGTTCTTCAAGTACTCCAAATTGGTTCCTTCCCGCGACCTTTGGAGAGAAACAATTGTATTAATTGGCTAAAAAAATGTTCTTGTAAAAAACATGCACAAAGAAGAAGCTGATGACAGCACAGGAGAAATTAACTGCTTTTCAGTCTGACCTTTGACCTTGAAATTTTACAGCTCTGCCAACCATATAATTCCGCGCTTACGATCACCATTCTCTGCTAACCATGCCAACAGGGCTAGCAAAATAAGTCTGCGCTAACCCTGTAAGCACAGAATCCTTAATTACGACATGCGCATAAGCTGAGATATGCTAGCCGTAAGCAAGGAATTTGTGCATACGGTTAGCTGGGTCATATTATTTGGCCCTGAACTCTTAATTTGACACCTGACCCCCTTAATTTGACCTACTGATTTGACCCCTGACCTCTTGATTTGACCCCTGACCTCTTGATCTGACCCCTGACTTCTTGATTTGACCATGACTTCTTGATGTGACCCCTGACCTCTTGATGTGACCCCTGACCTCTTGATGGGACCCCTGACCTCTTGATGTGACCCCTGACCTCTTGATGTGACCCCTGACCACTTGATGTGACCCCTGACCTGTTTCTCTTCCACCTCTCGGCCTCCTCCCTCAACTGATCCAACTCCTCTTCGTGCATCTGCGCGGCCATGGCGTGCTTCTCCTGCAGCTGGCGAAGGGCGCCCTCTAGCTGCTGCTTCTGTTTCTTGACGGCGGTGAGCTCCACCTCGCGACGCGCTCGCTCATCGGCAAAGTGGAGCAAGGAAGGGTTACTGCTCTGGACCTAACGAGGAGAGGAAAACGGGTTACCAACCAAAAACATCATGTGGTGTGTACTGGTTCGGACTGGTTCTCCGCTATTCATGCCTAATTAACACATAAATTGGTTTCAAGCAACTTTCTTAGAAGTTCAATGAAAGTGTATTTGGGAAAATATAAGTTACCATGGATACTTGGAGTTGTGATACTGTTTCATCCGCCTCAGATTTAGGTCGTTCATCGCCGTCTAAGAAAACATCACCTGAAGACTGTCTGGTAAGACTGTAATCACTAGGAAAATACACCAAAGAATATTCTAATTAGTTATGACCTCTAGTCTAATTAGAGATGACCTTTGACCTGTGTGAGTTAAATTGGATGGATATTTGATAAAATGACTTCTGAAAGGCATGCAGGATCATTTGCTTTTCATGCATTTTGTTTGTGTCCAATAATAACACCACTCAAAATCCAAAGAACGTTCAAAGCCTAACCTGTTGAAGTTTCAGCTCAGTTATTACACTTTTCAAGAAAACAGTAAAAAACCATGCACAAGCTTTTGATCACGAAACACCATTTAATCCATAGCACTCAGTATTTAAGGCCCCAAATAAAGTCTCCGGTTTCTGGTATGCGCGCGCATCGCCGTAGCCATGCGCGTCGGCAAAATTAAAAAGCTTTTTTTTCAATGTAAGATGATGTCTCAAAACCGCCAAACTCACTGGTTTGACTGGAATCCTGCTGCTGCACAATTTTAACGTGTTTTTAGATTGGGTTATGATCGAGGATAAGCTTTATGTGGCCTCTCTGGGCTCCAATACATTTTCCACTAAATTTAGTCGGGCACCATTTACAGTCATCAGCCGACATTTGAAGGAACAAAGTTAAAATTTTTTTTTTTTTAAAGCCGCGTCGCCACACCACTTTTGGGGCAAGCTCCATACCAGAAACTTTTTATTTTGGCCTAATTGACTGATCGTTGGAAATCACCTACATTTCTTGATTTCATCTAAAAGACAGCAAGCCAGACGGAATAATATCACGGGGTGTTTAGTACCAGTACGAGCTTTAATCCAAGTAAGATTTTTGATAATAATTCAGGTTACTTTTGGAATAAATGCAAATGATCCTACATGCTTTTAGGGCAACAAAATATGGAGATAATGGGAGTTATTGTTCTTACCCTTGCATGTTAGCAGGTCCGCCGTATCGATGATTGAGTTGTTGTCTCAGGATGTCAATCTCTTGAGCTTTTTCAGCGAGCAGCGCCATGGTGCGGTCTCGCTGCCTGTGGATCTGCTGTTCCATGTCCGATGCACGTTGCTGCAAAGTCCAACCAGAACAATTCACACTGGTTATCTTATAATGATAATGCATACAGGGTTTCCAGCACTTTATGAAAGCAGAGTTTTCCCTGATATTTCCCTGAGGAATGTCAAAACTTTCCAGTAATATTTTCACTTTAACTCTTTCAGTGCCAAAGTCGTACATGTACGAGCTATATTTGTTAGTTCGAAATTGCCAACCTCCTACATGTACGAGGTAATGTTCGTACTTAAAATCGCCAAACCTCGTACATGTACGAGGTAGAGTAAGCATGTTATCACAAGGGGGCGCTCTCGCTCTTTCTAATAATATCATTTTCATTCAGGTACGACCTGTATTTGTTTGTTTCATTCGAGTTCTTGCGAGAGGGCGCAGCACTGACACTCGTATTTTCTGCAAAAAGTGCGGAATTCCCCTGTGTGCAGGACAGTGTTTCAGGGTGCATCACTATGTACGTGACTACTATTGACTTTCCAATGTACCAAGGATATATCAGAGACCAACAACAACAAATTTAGTGAGTAAAACTTAGTTACTTTTTTTTTTCACAGAACTTTGAACAATTAAAAAAAAACGCTCGAAGTAGGGCACTTTAGGGTTAAACTTTTCAAATTTCGCGGGCACTGAAAGAGTTAACGAGGTTGTTACTGTCTGTAGAGGTGTGTAATATTACACTGCATTTACCTAACAAGCCACCATACCCAGTCAGTCAATGGACGCAACTTGGAAATATGGCACAAGACGCACATACGCCTGGCGATGGTGCGTCTGTTATTGGTTCCCAACAACAGTAACCATCTCTGTCCTTACAGGTACAAATTGATTTTTTTTGGTTCTAAGTTGATTTTACTATGAAAAAAATGTGGCTGTGGCACAATTTAACTTGCATAAACGGTTATACTGCTATTGATATATCAATTATGGCCTCGTGGCATTTTACCTTGTATTCAGATTCGGCCTGGCTTAAGGCTGCGCGATGTTGCTCCTTCAGTTTGAAGATTTTATCCTCGTAGTTGGTGACCTGAGTTGAGATGACAAATAATAAAACCATGCTCAAAAGCTTTATTGAAAAATTACTTTGTTTTAAAGATGCGTTTCCCATGTTATTTTCAAGTTTAATCCCGAAAAATAGATTCCTTTTCTAAATTGCCCTTTTTCTAGCAAAACATAAGTTGTGTACTTTTGACTGAGAAATCCAGAAATGAGACGTGCACTAGTGATCAAATTATGCCAGTCCATATGTGTTTTATAACACACCTCTGTCCAAAATATAAAATAAGAAAACGTCAGGGTCTTATAATTGCACTGTTTTAATTCATCAATGAACTCATAAGTCCCTCGGAGTTAAACCAACTGGTTTTTCTCAGAACCACACAACTCACTAAGAGATATCGTTCACATGGTGTTACCGCAAACCTCCCATTCATTGATCATGTCCACAATGTCCACCATGCAAACCTTTAAGTCTCATTTAACTGACAAGCAATTCAACAATAAGCAATTAAACACAATACATGGACTTTGAAACAGAGGGCGCTTGTAACCAGTCAAACATTTTGAGTATAGTGCCCG